CTAAATCTGATTAGTTGTTAGTTTTCTCATCTTCTTCCCCACCCTCTTTTCTTATTTTATGATTTATTTTATTTATTTTTATTTATTCTGAAAATTCTTAGCGGCAACCCTAAATCTGATTAGGTGTTAGCCTTTCTTGCTTTCGGCACACGTTTTGACCCCGTGGGGGTAACGAAGTGCTACCAAAATTTTCTGATTTTTTCTTACTTAGTCTTTTCGGCACACTTCGACCCCATGGGGGTAACGAAATGTTGCCAAAATTTTTGAAAAATCAGATAACCCATTTTTCCCCACCTCCTCACACACTTATTTACTTATTTATTTATTTATTTATTATTTATTTATTTATTTTTTGAAATATCTTTTTTTATTTATTTGCGGCATCTCTAGTGTGCTCACCTTGGTCTCTCCTTTTCCCTTGCCACATTCTTGACCCCGTGGGGGGTAGGGAAATGCCGCCGAAAATTTCAAAAAAATAAATATTGTTTCCCTTCACATCTCTTTGCTTATTTCTTTACTTATTTTTATTATTTATTTATTTATTATTTATTTTTATTTTCTCTCGAAATCTCGCTGTTTATTTATTTTTCTCCCGTCTCCCCCCCCCTATGCTTGCTATTTTACTTTCTTGATTAGGTCACCGGTACCCTACCCTACCCACTTGAACCTCGGTTAGGGTTTTTTTAGGGTTTTTGTAGGGTTTAGGGTTCCTCAAAACCCCCCTACTTCCCCGTCCTCTTCGGGCACCCTGGACCCGAACCACCCCTCCCCTTTTGACGGCGCTCGTGCTAGCCTTGCTAGCGCCGTTCGCCGCTTTCTACCGCGGACTTCCCCCTACGCCCTCCGCTCATGCGGACCTCTTCTGGCCCCCTCCAGTCCGGTCCATCATCTCCCCATGGCCGACGGTGCGTCACACGCCGCCGACACGGCAATGACCACGGCATCGGGCTCCACACCCGTGCCGGCGGACCAGGGCCTTCAGCCCCAGGGGGATCTACACACCCTCCTCACCTCCCTCGCGCCCATCCAGGCGCAACTCGCGACCCTTGCGCCCATCCAGGCACAACTCGCGACCCTCGCGCCCTTACAGGCGCAGGTGGCGACCCTTGCCGCCGGCATGGAGCAACTCCAAGACGCTGCGTGTCCGTTATCTCCTAGCTCCCAGTCCGGGTCCCCCGTCCTCCGACACGGTGGCCATGGCGGAGCTTCCTCCTCCGTTGCCCCTAACCTGACCATCTTGGTGACTGTCCACGCCCCTAGCACGACGGCCGCCACGAGCCAGGCCCCCCCTCAGTCTACGGGCGCACCCGCCCAGATCCCGGTCACTACGGCCACGGTACAACAACCCGCTACCATGGTCTCAGCTTTTCCGAGTGCCCCGCTTCTCCCTCCCCTTCGCACGACAGCAACGCCACCTGGCTCTCCCCCTCTGGGATGCCCCGTGCCGCTTGTGCGTCGACCCCCTCCACTCTTCCTCCTGCCACCCCTCGATCGACCTACGTCCGAGGTCTCACGGACGAGATTGCCCATCTCCGGGCCGACCTCGCCCTCTTACGCCTTCAGCCACCCCCACCCTCACAGGTGGCCGCGCCTTCGGGCGCACCCCCTACCTCCTCTACCCTTCCTCCTATGCAGGCTCGCTTTCCGCGCCCTGCACCCTATACAACTCCTTCCTACCTTCTTCCTACTCCCGCGGTTGCTGCGACCTCTTCTACCGCACCACCCTCGCAGCCTGCCGCTATTGCCACCGCCGCTCCCCCATGCGGCTCGACCGCATAGTCAGCTGCGCCCCTTTCTCCAAGACCTGCGCCGACTTACTCAGCCGTGGCACAGGCCTCCGCTCCTCGATCCCCTCGCCGCCAAAACGGTGGCGCACCACTCATCCGCTTGTCGGACATTGCCTTCTATGACGGTACAGGCATACGCGTGTCTCGGTGGCTGCAGTCTGCCACCCGCACACTCCAGCTCATGGGCGCCACACTCGTGCTCAGTCCCCCGCCGGCGCCTCACGTCCTCGCGGCGCCTCCTAGCCACGGTGCAGTGTACACCTGCGCCCTCCTCAATAATCGGCTTCCCGACATCTCCGTCGAGGTTCGCCCCTCTCGCTACTGGAGCTGAGGTATCGCAGGACTCGACAGAGTGTACTCAGCCCTCTGTCGCAGTACCGTCTGCGCCTCCGCAGACCACCGTCTCCCCTCCTTCCCCGCCNCCCCTCCTTCCCCGCCGAGACTACCGACGCGTCGAGCCGTTCGCTCACGCCGTTGTAGCGAGCAGCTCGCTACTCGCGAGGACGTTGTGTCCTCTCTTCTGGACTTGAGCATGCTCCAGGCTCGCCAGGAGCGACTCACTCTCCATGTCGCAGCCCTGCGTTGCCTTCTCACCATCCTCTCTGACCCTGATCGCACCCTCCCGATCATCCCAGTACGATTGGGGACCTCCACGAGGGTGTACTCAGCGCTGTGGGATTCCGGTTCTCAGTGTGACTTCATTCACCCCCGTGTGGTGAAAGAGGCCCGCTTACCTGCGACCGGGTCTCCGTCTCCCATCTCTGTCACCCTCGGGGATGACAAGACCCAGCGCTTCTTGGAACAGACGGTCACCGATCTCCCTTTCTTCCTCACCCTCGAGCCGACTGATCATTCCCCGGCGTCTCGTCGCCACCGCTCCTCTGCACATTTGGATGTGATGGAGACGGGGTACGACTTCATTCTCGGCACTTCGCGGTCTTTTCGGTTCCGCAGCACCGAGGCCGATTGGGCGACCAACACTCTCGTTCTCAAAACGAAGTGTGGACAGACGTATCGCGTACCTTTCATAGGTACCACTGCGACACCATGCCCCAATCCTCCTCCCCCGGAGCCTTCAGTGCCCACACCATCTCCCTCTATCACTGTCACCTCGCCTCGACAGTTCGCTCACTTCATCCGACAGGACGACGTCACCTTCTTTATGGTGAACGTGACGGATCTCTTACACTATGATCCACCGTGTCCTGACGCCGAGCTCATCCCTGTGGAGCCCGATCCTCCTTCTATCTCCATGGCTCCCATCTTTACTTCCGTCCCTCCGCCATCCGTCGAGTCCACCCCGCCGTCGCGCGCTGACGCTGACGCTGAGGAACTCGCACGATGTACGGATGACTTGGAGCCCGCAGTTCGTGACCTCATCCGAGAGTACCACGACGTTTTCCCATCGTCGTTCTCGTACGCCGGCATCCCACAGATGCGTAACGTCAAGCACTCCATTCAGCTTGTGCCTGAATATCGTGTTCACCACCAGGCACCCTACAGACTCTCGATCCCCGAGGCCACCGAACTCAAGCGTCAGCTTGAGGAGCTCCTGAGACTGGGTTTCATTAAACCCAGCAACTCCCCGTGGGGTGCACCCGTCCTCTTTGCTCGCAAAGCGGACGGAACTCTCCGTCTCTGCATCGACTATCGCGGTCTCAACCGCTACACGGTTAAGAATAGCTACCCCATGCCTCGTTCCGATGAGCTGTTCGACCGCCTAGCAGGCAACCGCTTCTTTACGAAGATTGATCTTTGTAGTTGTTACCATCAGATCCGCGTTGCTGCAGCCAACCAGCCGAAGACCGCGTTCTGATCTCGATTCGGCCACTACGAGTTCACGGTGATGCCATTCGGCCTCACTAATGCTCCCGCTACCTTTCAGAGGGCGATGAACGACATCTTCAGGGACATCCTGGAGCAGTACGCTCTCGTCTACCTCGACGATATCTAGGACTACAGTCGTACCCTTGAGGAGCACCTAAGACATCTCCTTCACGTCCTTGACCGCTTGCGCAGACATGGCTTCTACGCCAAGCTGAGCAAGTGCCGCTTTGCCCAGCACAAAGTGGATTTCTTAGGACACTACGTGTTTGACCAGGGCCTGCACATGGACAACGCGAAGATCACTGCTATTGCGGAGTGGCCCGCTCCCACATCCGCCAAGCAGCTTCGCAACTTCCTAGGCCTGACCAGCTACTACAGTAACTTCATCCGGGGATACGCTAAGTATTCCTACGTCCTTACCTCCACCCTCCTCCGGAAGAACCCACCCTGGGCTTGGACACCCCTCCACGA